TAATTTGGAAAAAGAGGATACAAATTTACTGATGATCAGACATAAAAAAAAAAAACAAACACCTCTAGGTTTTTGGCCCAGCACGCTTCCACTGCGCCACTCTGCTGTTATAATTTACATTTAAACTGCCCTTTTTAATGACTATTCAACTTTCATTCTATTTTTTCTGATGCAATCCTTCATTTTCATAAATGGTATGCAACTCTATATACCGTAAAGAATTTCAAAATACAGAGTTATCTTATTTTTAAATCATTTTGTTAAAAAAAACTTCTTTACCTAGGTTAGGTTTAAAGAATAAGTGTAACAAAAATGCTTTAAACCACTGTCTTGCTTAATTTTGAAATAGATAGTATCATATCAATATTTATATGACTGAAATATTTTGGAGGGAAAAATCAGCACACAAATATGCAAAGTGCATTCTTATTAAAGCAAGACGGTAAATAGAATTCATTATTGAAATTATAATCGGACAATAAACAAGGGGGTTAATCCATGCGCGCGCATCCTTAAAGTTCTGATACCGCGAACACTTCATCGGCCGGTATTTCGAAGAAAAACGAGTGGTGTGAAGAAATCAGAAAAGGTATGAATTTAATTTGTTTTGCAAAGAAGATGTCCTAACTTCTAGTTTTTATATACAAAATGTCTTGAAGTAACTCTTTCCTGTTTTGTCAGTATTTCGCGTTGAATGCGATTTTGATTACACCCGGCTTTGAAATGTTACAGAAAATGAGCAAATATCGATTAAACTGGCCGTTTTAAACGGCTGGAAGTTATTCTGTTGTAGAATTCTTTTCAAAAATATATTTTCAACCTTCGTTCCAATTCATTTATTGTTTCAGTGTTCTATAGATTACGGATAATGGACCTCAACTTTCGTTTGTTTCCTTATTGACATTTTAACGCATTTATCTGTTGATTTTTTTTTTGTGGAGGGGACATGTCCTTGTTACGTGGATTTTTTTCTGATAGAATGTCAGACGTTATACACAATATGATATACATGTTTTTTCAGCATGTTCCAACGAAAAACTGTTTGTGTCGTCGAAAAAAACATTCAATGCTGAAATCAACAGTTACTTTGTTCCAGGATATGACCAACCAATTTATTTTATTCTTCTTCTAAATTTACTCCCGAGTTGCAATATCAAGTTCGCTATAACTTTCCGTCTGTTTCTATGATGTCCTGTTTATGGCAGTTAAAATATCACTTGTTAATATTTTAGATTGACTAAATCTCTTGCTTTAGCTGTTTATTTGAAAAAATAGTGTCACTCAGGTGGCGCTCTTGACGTTTTATTTTAGTTACGTATTTGTGTGTAAGTTGGTATCTCCAAAACTACTGATGGGAATGGGTTGAAACTTGAGAGCATAATAGGAGGTCACTTTCCAATGTTCATTATTCATATAAAGATTTTGACATAACTATTGCCCTTTTTGAACTTAATTTTTTTACATTATCCAGGCACTTATTTTACTATCAAGTACTACAATAGTCGAGCACACTGCTCTTGTTAATTGTCGCGAGATATCGCGAAGAACTTTTACATAAGTCACTTGTACCGTTTTATTCTCTTAAGATACATGCGAAAGTTAAGCATATGTTAGTGTTCATTCGTATTTAGAAACTTCGACGGGAGTGATAGCGACAGGAGAATATTTCTAAATTCTGTAGAACAGCCACGGATGAATACTAACATACTGAGTGTCAATCTTTATTTGGCCTCATTATTATTCACTTTATTACGTCATTATGCGGTTCTATGAATTACTATGAAAAATAGAAGTCGACTTGCTATGAACGGAATTCGATTTAGTGCTCGCCAATTTTTTTAAGCCAATCGCCGACGAGGATTTTTCAAATTTTCAAGTTACAAATCTTAATAGAACAGATTCTATATAAACTGGACGTTTTATATTATAAAACGCAAGTGGGCGGAGCACTAAGCCGGTTAGAGTGCATATTGGATGTTCTTCGTAAATAAGAAAGCTACAGTCGCTTCGCAAGCTCCGCTCCTTTTTAGCTTTCTTATTTACGAAGAACACCCTATATGCACTCTAACCTATACATAGTATAGACTTTTGTTCTTCTATGAAAATTAACGTGCAGAATTTTTAAGAAACACAGCGCTTTCAATGGATGACAAATAAATTAAGACACTAAGGTTAATTAGTGTCCAGCTTTATTTGTCATCCAATGAAAACGCTATATTTCTTAAAAATTATGTGTGTTAATTTTCATAGAAGAAAAAAAGTCGATACTATATTGAAATCCGTTCATAGTCGCCTTCTATTTTTCATAGTGCTTCATAGTACCGCGTAGTGACGTAATCAAGGGCCAAATAAAGCTTGACACTAAATATGTTAGTGTTCATCCTTAGCTGTTCTACAGAAAGTAGAACCATTCTCCTGTCGCTATCGCTCCCGTCGAAGTTTCTTATTTCTGTAGAACAGCACGGATGAACACTAACATATACTTATTGCGAAGTCTTTAACATTTTAAGTGTTAATGTTAGTTTTTATCCGTGCGTTCTTCAGGAATTAGAAAACTTTCGACGGTAGGCGATAGCGACCGGAGATGTTTCTAATTCATTAGAACAGGCTTGGATTGGATACCCAAAACAGATTTTAGTTTTCAAACTTTTTTGGCCTCATTAATTTCATTTATTACCGCCTACCAGTCCGCTTTATAAAACAATTACCTGAATGGTGGGTTTAAATTTGACCTTATAAATATGCATGATTTACATCACTTTGCGCTCGAAAACGCATACTGTACCCTTGTTTATGTTTCAGTTGGGAAATATGGAGGACGGCATATGGCTGATGCGACTTTTCATTTGCTCGATTTTTTAACATTTATTTTCGACAAAATTTTTTGATGAGTTGGACAATTGAAACTCAGTAGCTAATAACTGATATGATTTATACATGTATACACTGAATGTCATGTGTTAACACGAGGTCACGTAATGTATTTTCCAAAAACACAATGCTGTCTACCGAAAAAAAAGAAAGCAAATAGACACACGTGACTTTACTCTTAGTTACAAATTAATTAAGACCTTTTTCAACATTCGTAATAAACATAAAATTAATTGACATTCTGTATTGATTTTTAATTTTACACGTGCAGTATCTTTATCGCCAAGACATGGACTTAAATCTGAACTACATCCTGTATCAATTAAGCAAAATTATTGTAGATTCTTTCGACGTCATTTTTACTTAATTAATATTCAAAAGCGGCCCCATGAAAGCGCATGTGCAGATTTATGCAAATGACTTTTTTTACAAACGCGTTTCTATGAAGACTTGAAAAATGGACGAAATTTGATATAGTATCGACTTTTGTTCTTCCACATATTTTTTAAGAAATACAGCGTTTCCATTGGATGACAAATAAAGTTGGACACTAATTCTCAAAAGGATTAAATTAAGCATTCGACAAAATCAACTTTGAAGAGCCGCCAAAAGTTTCAATCTCTCTACTTTATCTATAACTGACCCAGACAGGACACCGTTATTTTCAGCTGCACTAAATCCACATGGAAGGTAACAGTCAAGCGTTTTCTTACGTTAGATTACACTTCTTAGATAGTTCTGTTGTGGGTACAGTCGTATAATTATACTTATTGTAAAAAAAAATATGATACGTCTTTACACAATATATTCTTACACAGTATTAAATAAAGTCAACAAAGTCCATAATTGTTTTATTGTTCCAAGGGATTTTGAAATTACTTTGCATTGAATGTTCACAAAATTGGGACAATGTGACATGCGCAACACCTATACCCTACCTTCAAGAGCAAGGTCACTATTGGGTGTCAAAGCCTAACATGGTTTGTTTTAGGATATATTTTGTGTCAAGTATATAACCTTTTCATCAATCAAGGGATTTTGAAATAACTTGGCACCAATGTTAACATTAATAAGACGACATGTCATGCTCAACAGCCAGATACCTCAAAGGTCAAGTCACACTTGAAGATCAAAGCCTAAAATGTCTGTTACATGGCATGATGCCAAGTCAAGTCTATGCAAATAAAATGTCATTTGTGAATTGCCCACATGCCTTAATTTATGACTGGACACGAAATATACCCTGTAACAAATCATATCCTGTACTCATTTTGTATTTGTTACATACTGTGGCTTTGAAATAGTGACAACAGCTGTAAAAATGTATTTCTCTTGACACACGTTATTTCATTATAATGTAAATATTATTTCTTACATATACAAATATAGCTTTGATTAAAATTGTACACTGAAATTTCAATTTCTTACCTCAGACATTTTAAAAAGCTACCTTTTGGGATTCATTTAAAACTTCCCTTAGGCGGAGGGACGTTGGTAACTCTGTCAGTTTATTCATGTTTTGTCTCACAGAAAATTGTTGAAAATAAAGTAACAGGAATAATGGCCCAGGTAAAAGAAATGTCATGTCAAGAATACAAAAATATTGCATTTTTCATGACCCTAACAAATTCGGCGCAGTCTGTGTATTTTTAAAGTTTAACCGACATTTATGTTCGCCACATCTCACTTTGTGCATTTGCAATCAATCACGTTTTTATTAAAACTCAAAATCTTATTTAGTATTATGGTTATGTTATGGGAAAGAAATATATATTATTTTAGATAATGAGTTAAAAGTGACGTATGCTTCTTTTAGAAGTAGTCATAGTCTATCGTTTATAGTCATAACTAAGTTTTAAAACTTTTTTTTCGCATGTTATCATGGTATATTATTGTTACAACCTTACAGATTTAGAGTGGTTGAAAATGAAATGAAATTCTTCCTTTTAATAATGCAAACATAACCTTTTTAATAAATAAATACTATTTGTTTAACAATTAATGTTAACTTAGCTTTTCTTGCTACTTTATTTTGATGTTTTTTGTTACCCAAGCAAACAAATATTAAATTAGACAGTATGAAATCAACAAACATAAGGTAATTAAGGAAGCAATTTGCAAACAAAATGAAAATAAAACTACATTTTATTTTTTTATGTTACACAAATAGTGACTCAGAGGGTGCCAAAATACATTTTCAAAATATTTAGAGTTACATGGTATTGTTATATATACCAACTCAAATGTAATATATACATTATCTTTAAAGTTCAAAGTTAATTTCATTGTCCCTTTTGACAGTCTGTTGTAAATACTCACATTGTTTTAATTTACTCTTTTGCTATGAAAAATTCGCCTTTACCATCTACATTTAGAACAAACTTATTATGTCCTTTTCCGGATCTCATCTTCCACGCATCGTAGTTTTTGTCATAAGTTGTTATTTCAGCATTTTTCCAGTCGATTTTTTCTTCTTTTTCTAGATAGGTGATAAAGCCTTGAAATAATTTCCTTGCTTTTGCCGTATTGTCGTCATTTGTCATGGCTTCATTTCCACAAACTTTGACAATCATATGTCCGACTGATACTTTATTGATTCTGTCGCACTGGTAAATGAAATCGTTACACTATAAGAAAAAAGAAAATAAATAGAGGAAAGTAAAGAGCCACCATCGAGCGGTGGAGCGCTTGACTTTTTAAACAGTTAAAACAAATATTTAAAAAGAAAATTAAAGAAAAAGTCTGAATCATTTCCATAAATACATAGCAATATAAGGAAAATTCAATTGTCTGACCATTACAGGCCATTAAAACCACAATTCAATTATCTAACCTTGACGATCAAGGTCATTTAAAACTCAAGATCTTAGTCAGTTCAGCCTTTCAGAAAGGCTTGTCCAAAAGGTTGTTTTTATCGAAGTATGAAGATAATCCATTGTTTAATTATTCAGCAGGCTTGGGGTAATGATACTGGTAATGGTAATGCAGTAGGAATGATGATATAAATACACAAATATAAACGCAAAATAGTCTGAATGACATTGTAAGTACATGTGTGTGAAATGATGCTCAAATTCTAAGAAAAAAGAAAGCCAAATAGCGAAAATGAAAGCAAATGAAGATCAAAGTGATATTACCCCACCCATTAGAAAACAGAAATCAAAGGTCCAGCATAGAAGTAGTGATCATTTTGAATGTCAAAACAACGCAAATAAAGACACAGATATAAACAATGATAATTATTCGCATACATGTTGTCAATTATCAGCGGAACATCATCTCAGCCAAGCGCGGCAATTACTTTACTCACCGCCACCCTCACCCACCCACAATATTGAACATATAAACTATCAAATGAATGATATATATGGGGCAAGTAATACAAACGTGTCACAGGGTAATTTATCACAATTACACCCCTACCATTTGTTCACCGAGATCCAAATGAAATACTGCCATGGATTCATATTCTGCATGGATTAGAATCAAGATTAGATGCAAGATTAAATGGAATAGAATCTCAACTGCAAAATTAAGGTAGTAACTGGCAAAACCTAGAAAAAATTCAACAGACGCAAAATGACAAAATAAAGAAACTAGAAGATAAAATTGAAGCAATTATCCCCATTCCACAAACAGTTTAAAGAATTGACTCCCATGTTATAATGCTCAATGAACGTTTACATACACAGGGAAAACAAATCACTGAATTCAAGAGACAGTGTTGAGGTCATTAATGATTTATATGAAGGCATAAGACACGAAAAAACAGATGTAGAATTTAATATGGAATCACTACAAAAGCATTTTTAAATAACATGCAAAGTGAAATAAAAGACATGTCAAGTAAACATGAACAGCAACAAAAATCCATCTTAGATTTACAATGTCGCAGCATGCAACATAATCTTATTTTCCATAGCATACCGGAAGATGAGATAAATCCTGGTGAATCAGAAAATACTGAACAAAAATTAAAGTTTTTTATCAAAAATACATTGGAAATTAAAAAAGACAGATAGCTAGCAAAGGTACATAGACTAGGTAGAAGGAAAATAGATCAGTTAAAACCTAGACCAACATAAACAAAATTTAAAGATTTGAAAGACAGAGACAATATTAGATTCACTGCCCCCGTTAAGCTAAAAAATACAAATTTTAGGATCAGAGAACAATTCCCACATGAAATAGAAAACAGAAGGAAACAATTATACCCAAAGCTGAAAGAAGCTTAAAAGAACGGCAAAAGCGCAAAATTAATCAGAGACAAGCTTTACACTGAAAATGAAAGAATATGTCGTGAAAATAATGAATCAGAAACACAAAGATGTCATGAACCTAGACAACATGAGCATAAAACATATACATCAAAACATGAAAATTATGCACAGAAAACAACCTGCACCAATACCAAATATAAATCGAATCCGAATCGGTCAAATGAGCAAAATTATAGAGTGCAGGCAACAAACATTCAAACACCAAATAGGTTCCAAGTACCATCACATATAGATGATGAGGACAGGCAATGAACATACACTGGAAAAAGACCAGCAAGATCACCAATTGAAATGAGCATGGGTACAAAGAAACATAGATAACATTCGCCTGGCATTAACTCATATGAAACATCCAACAATGAAGATATACAATACCACTGACTGTTTTTGAAAGTTCTTATGAAAATGGTGATTTCTAGCAAGACGAAGAGGACAACAAAAACATAAAGCAGAATATTAAAATATGTTCTATGAATAAATCTCGTTTAAAATGTCCTGAATTTTTAGAATTTATAAATTACTATGATATCATAGGTGTTCAGGAAAGCAAGCTAGACGATTTTGATACTATTGTTGTTGAAGGTTTTGAAATTTTTATGCATAATAGAAAATAATATTCCAAACACAGATCAGGGGGAATATGTGTTTTATTAAAAAAAGAAATTGTTAATTATCTTAAAATTCTTAAAAGTGGAAGCAAACTTGTACTCGAGTTTAAACTTGATCTCAAAGATGTACAAAGTGAAAAAAATGTATGTGGTATTGTATATATACCCCCAATAAGAACAAAATATGACAACCCAGACCCCTATTTAGAACTGCAACTTGAAATAAACAAATTTGACAAAGAACAAATACTGCTTTTTGGAGACTTCAATTCTCGAACAGGGTCCAAATCTGATATTGTTGAATGTGATGTATTTATTTTTAACTTACTTGGTAATGATGAATGTATAAGCGAAAGTAGAGACATAGTAAATAAATTAAAAAATAATGAAAATCCTCTCCAAAGAAAAACATTAGATAAAACTGTAAAACTTTCTTGAGAGTAATGCAATGTAATGATACTGCATGCCAATTTGCATTACTTGTAATGGTACTGGAATGCAAAATTCAGGTAATGAAGGTGCATTACTGTGCATTACTTTGCATTACTTCACCAAACTTACTACGTCACATAAGGTATAGATGATCAAAAGAACACAAGATAAAATTGTGGTGGCCTTAATCAGTCAAATAAAAAATAAAAACATGAAAATTCGATACCATTTCCATATATGTCTGCACTGATTTATAACATCTAGTATGAATTGAAGTATTTGTTGTATTTGCAGGCTTGTACATTTTTCAGTGTAGAATTGGGATAAAATGATGAGTTTAAATTCACCAATTTTACAGTTAATATCAAATATTATAGACCTGAATAATTAAGTGAACACTAACCCAAGACAGTTACAATCTCATTATAATAGATGATATAGCACAAGGTCAATATCAAGATATATTCAGCGTCAGTTTTGAGATGGTTGTCATTGCTTAAAATACATTATATAAAATGGGTTGGGAGGACAATTTTATACACCTTCATGAAAAGCCCTGCTGACAACCATAACCCTTAATGCAAGATTAAAATTACTGTTTGACACTTGCCTTTGTTTGACCATTTGGCACTTCAGCACCTTTTGTCAAGCTGCCATGTGCCAGACTAATTATCACGAAATGCATAGTCACTCTCACTGACTTAAATAGAGAATAATAAGAATCCCTAAAGAAAGCCCAACACGGCACAATTGAAAATGTTGCAGGCTCAGTTTGATTAAGCCTGTTCATGGACGGTACTGTCAAGTGCAAACTACCGTCCACGCCCCAATTGCACCGGCTTTAGCAGAATTCAACATTTAACATGAACTGATAAAATTTAGAATTTTGAAACATCCGCATATGTGTACTATTTCACGTTTAAATGTTGAATTCTGCTTAAGCCGGTGCTAGGGGCGTGGACGGTAACTTGCACTTTCCAGTACCGTCCATGAACAGGCTCAATCAAACCGAGCCTGCAACATTTTCAATTTTGCCGTGTTGGGCTTTCTTTAGGGATTCTGTATTTATCTATTTCATATGGCGGTTATCATGGGACCTTCAATGTGACAAGTGAGTGCCATTCCATGATGACCCCTAAGTTAAAAAATGTGTGTGCCCTAAACGAGAAAACAATGGGCGGAACTAAATAAACTGGAATTTTGAAAGGGGATCAGAGGTTATGAAGCCTGCGTATCACAGATACGACGTCAAAAGGACAAATTTAAAAAGCAGGCCAATTATCCTAAGGTTGATTCATTAAGTATTCAAGTAAGAAATACTGGAACCACCAACAAGAAAGATGTCAAATAGAAAGAACGAAAAAACCACAAGCACAACAATAATGTCGTGCTGAACGATCTTTAAGGATCGGAAATATAACATCCCTGATTGAATGTACGGGGCGACTTTTTACAGCCTCCACACAATTTTAAGTAAAAACTTAAAATACAATTTTTTGTAAATTCAGTTTGGTTGTATTGTTATTTAAAGGTAAAACACAGATATGAATATCTTGAGTCATCTATAAAGGAAGAAGATAATCAAGCAAAATGTTTATATGCCTATATTACAACTGAAAACTCTTTGAAAGTGTCTCATAGATTCAGAAATTTAATAATAATATATGTATACAAATATACATGTATTGATTAGTTTGCTTTTTTTGTAATTATAAGCTACAAAACATTTTATCTTGACAAAAAGAAATCGTCTTATGCTCAAAAGTAATGGTAGTGATACTGCATTACTTGGTCCATGTAATGGAAATGTACTACATTACTTGCCCAAAATCAAGTCTTGGTACTGGTACTGATACTGCACCAAACCAAAAAGTAATGGTAATGGAATGCATTCCTTTTGCAAAGTCATGGCCCAAAGCCTGTTATTCATTTACAGTTAATTATAGCAAAATCAGTGAAAATTCAATAATTTAACATTCAAGGCCAAGGTCATAATAAGCTAGGTTCAATTTGAGTTTAACATACAAGATGTTCCTATTCTTAAGAATGTTATGTCTTTATATGAAGTCAATCCATTCTAATTAACAAAGTTATAGCCAGTTACAGAAAAAAAAGGAAGAAATAAATGGAAATTTTCAATTATTTGACCTTCAAGGTCAAGGTCATTTATGAGTGAAGGTTAACCCATTACTTCATGAGCATTTTGTGAAAAATGGCTGTTTTCATTGAAAAGTCTCCTGTTACAAGTTCAATTTGCTATAAAACTATAAAAACTGCTTCAATACTAATCAAATTTGGCACAAATGTTGCCTGGACCATTGCCTTTGTAACAACATGCTCAGGCTTACATCTCAAAATTTCCAAAAATCACTATTTTGCGTTGACTTTTTCCATCAAAATTATTTTCAAAGTGCTGCAACTTCTCAATGGATTGAGATAGAGTCAAATGCTTTTCAGCGTTGGTTACACGTAACCTTATGATCGATCTGGGGTCCTTTTTAGCCTCTCACAAGTCCAAAATTTTCTTGGCGATGAGGGCGACTGGTAAAATAAGTTGAATAATGAGACGAATAAAAATGCAAACATGAAAATATTAGTGTAGTCTGTATCATCAACACTTTTGCAAACGTCTGGATAATACAGACGGGTGACCTTTTAATCGATCTACTCCGGTCTTCGACAGTCACCGGTCTCCAAAGACTTTCTCCTATTGATCGAAAATTGTAAACTTTATTCTCGATACAAACGTTATTTTCAAACAATTTTGAAAACAGTTAAATAAAATATCTTTAAATTATTAAAACTTTCCACCGCAGGAAACCTTTTTAACTTGTTTGAGGACTGTTATTGCTTCGACACATTAATGGCAGTTATTGCTCGTAGGATATCAAAAGCACTTTTGCGGGTAGGAGGGATTGTAATTATCAAACTGTTCTGTATAAAATTAAAAATTAGATACGATATTTGGTGATCGGTAAATTGAATGAATTGGAGTATTTCTATCTTTTAAGGTACGTTTGTAATTTAAGTTATTTATAATTTCAGCTTTGCTGAGATCAGGTTTGATTATGTGAAAACAAAAGTGGGTCTGGGAAATCTTTTCAAAAGTAGTCTCTTTGTTAAAAATGTGAAATAATATTTTCCCTGTGAATTAATCAAATATAATTTTCACGGATAAACCAGTAATCCGAATACCAAAGAAAAAAGGAATTGAAAAATATTTTATTCCACGACGGTTTTAACAGAAATATGTGATTTTTGTGTCCTTTTTTTAATAATCGAACCTTATGCTAGTGCTTACGAACTTTGAAGTACAAGTACTTTCCAGTGGTGACAAAATGTTACACTTACCGATGGTGCAAATGAATATTCTTCGCCTTTAAACTGAACAATCTGAAAAGTAAATAAAAAGCACCTGTAAATTCATGCAGGACACAAAGTAAACATTTCGAAGAAATAGTTAAAATTTTAAAAATACAGATAAATAAATATAAAGTTAAAATAAATAATAATAATTAAGAAAATAAGGATATTTTTTTATGAAAAGGAAAGAAAAATAAATAATAATATGAAATTGAAATCATTTTTTTTATCTTCTAAATATGTATTGATCAACAGTTTAGACGACGGATGTTAATACAACTGATTGTGTTACATCAGTTCTTTACAGGCAAATGCTAAAACGAAATAAGCTGTCGCCGTATTGAGATATTCATTCTTACGATAGGATTTCCCTTGCTGTCAAATGTAGCTAGAATATTGTTCTCTATCTTTCCTGCAGATATTGTGTATAACTTGCCAGCATCGTCATAAAAAGCGATTTCTGTGTTGCATGTTATATCCTTCTTTTCACTCCTTTCTAGAAATTTTGCGATACGCATACACAACAATCCGATGGCAGCCTGTTTTTCTTCGTTTTTCAGTATCTCTGTCATAATTTTTAATGGTGTCACTGTGTGTTTCTCTTGAAAAGGCCATGTCTGAATATCGATACGACAATGTTTTAAAGTTTCATTCATTCAAATAATTTAGTACAATGTATATGCCTTAGCCGCTTTTGCGACTTCTTAAAAACTGTAAGTAAATGAGGGTCATTCTTTATAAAATGCAACTCATATTATAATTTCCGAAATAAACAAACGACCACTTTCAAAATTGCCGGACATATAAATCCCTGTGACTTTGACCTTTTCCCGAAACTAAACGAGGTCATAAGGGGTATTCGTTTTATTGATTTAGAGGAACTTGAATTTGTGGTGGTTGCGAGGGTGAGATTGCTTGAGAATTTTTGCCTAGCAACGGGCATAAGTATATGGAAGTATGTCAATGATCGCAAGGGATATTACTTTGAAGGAATGTAGAGAGGAAGCGACCTAAGAATATTTACTTCTGAAATTATTGCATTATATAATGAATGACCCTCATAAAGACATATTGAATTATAAGCGCGTCAATGAAAAAATGATTCTTGGTTACCGTTATCCCTTATATGCCCAGGCACTTCGGAGTCAAATACTTAATTGAGACTTGATGGTAAATCATCTTTTCATATATTATTTTGTAAAAATTGTTTGAAAACCAGTTTTATCGTTGAAACAAATGTCCCACTCTTGTTTAAATATTAAAGTATTTTTATAGTTTCTACAAAGGCGTATCACGTGGGGGGGGGCAGGATTTGACCCCAAGCGTCCCTTAAGAAATTTATTGATCTCGTTAAATGAAATGATATTTTGCTCCCCAGAGGCTCGCATAGTATGATTTCATTCAACTTACGAGTGCAAGAAATTCAGTATTGAACCTACAATCATTCAATATGTGTACGTAACTGCCGCGCTTTTTTAGTCGTACGAGACTTTTCATAGTGATTTATCATTGCAAAGTTATAAAACTAATCGCTAATAGTTCCAAGTAGCACAGATAAAATAATAGTCCTCGACCCCCACCACCCCACCCACCCCCCCCCCCCCCAAAAAAAAACAAAAAACAAACAAACAAAAAACTCCTTTTGATTAAGAATATGAACTTAACCCTTGATATTAAGTAAATTCAAATTTTTAATTTTACAAAGTTTAACTTTGTGTATTTGTTCATTGCTATTTACTTATATGATAATCAAAGCTCTGATAGTACTGTTAGAAGTGTGAAAAATAACTTAAAAGTTATTCTGTAATTATCTTTTGTTTATCTTTTATCTATTTGTTTTGTATTATAATCATTTTTTTTTTTTTTTGAGTGGCTTGATTATTTGTACTTGTATATCTCAGAATTTATTAAAAAAGAAACGTGATGTGGCCATATCATATAAAAAGATGCTTTTATTAAACCTAATCAATATTTGATAAATATTATTTTCTATATATACACCGGTATATAGGTTCTTGTCGGTTCCTTTCAGGTCTTGTCAGTAAATAGGAAGAGATGTGTTTGGAAGTGCGAATGTTTAATACGTTGTAAAAATTGGAAAAGGGAGAAAAATTACAAGAAAAATACAGACTAGATTTGACTGAGTCGGCGCATACGGGATGATAAAAGTGCAACATTTCTAACGCCAAACCGGTATTCAATATTCGACAGTCAAAGGTGCTGGAATCAATGATCCCGATGAACCAGATGAACCAGAAAAATATAACAGCACTGAAGTGAAGTATGGATCAGTTTTTTAGAGCCGCTACACGGCATTTGACAAGAATATAAATCTGGACAAAGGGTGATCTCCCAGAAACATTTAAAACATAAAATTTGATGTGTAGGGAGCCGGCACAGTGTTTGGATAGCGTATAATTTGCTTATTTGAACATTTGAACAGACTAGAAAAAATATGGCCATCATATTAGTTTTTGAACACTACTTATGAATGGTAAAGTTCTTAAATACGTGGTAATATATATAGATTGACCAAAGTATAAATGTCTCTGTAATAAATTATTGATATGCTTATGTGTGAGTAAGCGCGAGAGTGTTTGTGTTGTCTGTGTAAAAAATATCAATGTTTTACATTTTTTAAAGGCGTGGGTGCACGTGAGCGTATCGTTATTCATTTATTTCATATTAGATAACATACTTAAATTTATAAACAACAAATTGCAATACTTTAGACACAAAAATGAGAATTACGTACTTTAAAAGGTTTTCTGTCTGGCTTTAATTCTGCTGCACCAACAAAACGTCTTATCTGCAACAAAGAATCATACATATTGTTCAATGATACCACGTAAATTTTATCTAACAAGAAAAGTGTACATAGAACAAAGGACAAGTAGGGAAATTTCAGCTTCGTGAATTCATCAAATTCGTTAGTTACTCTCGATCGGAAAATCTTGAAAGTCCAAGGCCTGGGTTATCTAGACCCTTAACCTTAAAACCCAAAGTATCATTATCTGGTCCTGGGCGATGGTGTTCCTATCAAAGTTATGGTTATTAAATACACTTTAAGTGATTAACATAAGAAACACTACTAAGCTATAGTTCAAGACAGACATGTAATTGTTGTTTAAACTGTTTTCGTCCTTGCAATAAATTTTACTATAGTCACGTTACCTTTCTGTATTGAGCTCAAACCATGACATGAAGAAAGGTAACATGATCATCGTAAAGTTAGCACAAGCAAGAAAATCGTCAAAGACAGCGAAGGTATATATATAACATATGAGGGATGATCACAATGTCAACGCTATAGCGGCGTTGCCCGTGGATTTTGTTACAATTTCCGTCACCCATTGACAAATTTCCTTTTTTTGTAGTTATTTTGCATTACTTTTAAAAGGACTCCAATTAGGTTGTTATCACCCGGGAAAAAATCGGCATATATTGTAATGCACATGGTCACCCGTCCGTCCGTCCGTTCGTCTAATAGCAGGTTTCGTGTCCGGTAGGTATCTTTTGAACCGATTGCAGGAAATTGAAACTACTTAGCAGAAATGTTAACCATAATGAGTCGATGTGCAGAGCGCAGATTTGACAATTTTTCAGGTCAAGTTCACACTAAGTCACTTTGTGTTAATTTCAAAGTTTCGTGTCCGCTCTGTGTCTTTGAGAAAGAAATAAAAACTTTTTGTAAACATATTACTTATAATGAGATGGTATGCAGAACTGACGTTCGGGCTTCCTGAGATCCTGGGGATTAGTTGATCTATATGGACTTAGATAGGAGTTTTCGTGTCCGGTTTGTATCTTATAAACCAGTGGAAGGAAAGTAAAACTACTTACCAGAAATGTTAACAATAACAAGACAATGTGCAAAAGGCAGGTTTAAACTTCTTTAGGCCAAGGTCTAGGTCACACGTTTAGTCATAATGTCAAAATTTTGTGACCGCTTTCTATCTTTTGAACCGATCGTAGGAAATTAAATATATATTTGGCTGAAATATAAATATTACTGAGATGATGCGTAGAGCGCAGGTTATGGCATCCTCAGTTAAGGTCACACTGACTCTTTCAAAATCCTTATATAAGTGTATATATATTACAAAGAGATAAGTGTATATATTACAAAGAGAGATTTCAATGTATGAATTGATTGACATGTTTCCTCACAATACATATGTATGCTACCTCCCTTAATCTCCCAAAACCTATCATTTTATAATGTTCTTCATCAAACTTTTTGTTTTTATATTTTATTTTTCTATTAAGATCATAAGTATTGAGGAACCAATAACTTGTGTGTACATTTTCAGATAATTCCCATACTTCGTTTTCCAGAATAATTATTAATATCCTGTTGATAAAGTTTTTGCAACATATAGCGTTCCTGTTTCGTGTCTTGGAGTGGGTGTGGGAGAGAGGAGCTACAAAACGAAACTTTCACAAATGTGTGACATATTCGTTAACAATACACATCCTGCGTATGTGTCAACATAGATACATTTGAAAAGTTGCTATCACTATTAAAACATAAAATGTGACAAAAACAAATTAATTCTAAAATACCATGTAACAGACCATGTAAGTTATGTCCTTGACCTTTGAGGTATGAGTGCTGCGAATGACAGGTCGTCTTATTATTGTGAACATTTGTGCCGAGTAATTTTAAAATCTCTTTATTGATAAAAACAGTTGTGGACCAGACACATAATACACACTGTAAAAGATCATGTTTAGCTTTGATCCCAAAGCGTGACCTTGACCATAAAGGTAAGAGTACGGGTGTTGCGCATGGCACGGCGTCCATTTATTGTGAACATTTGTGCCAAGTAATTCAAAATCCCTTGAACAAAGAAATAATTATGGACCGGACACAAAATACACCGTACAACAGGTCATGCTTAGTTTTCACCGCCAAGTGTGACCTTGATCTTTCAGGAAGTGGTCTGGGTATTGCGCACGACACGTCGTCCAATAATTGTGAACATTTGTACAAAGTAATTTCTAAATCCCTTGATCTATAAAAAAAATATGGACCGTACACAAAATATAGCCTATAACAAACCATATTAAGTTTTGACTTCCAAGTATGACCTGGACATTGAAGGTAGGATCCGCGTGTTGCACATGACGCATCGTCCTATTAATGTGAGCAATTGTGCCAAGTAATTTCAAATCTCTTGAACGAGGAAATTATTATTGACTGGACACAAATATCTTACAACAGACCATGTTAAGCTTTGACCACCAAGTGTAAATTTGACCTTAATGGAGGTAGTCATGGTGTTGCGCATGACACGTCGTCCAATTTTTGTGAACATTTGTGCCAAGTAATGTCAAAATCCCTTGATCTATGAAAACGTTATTGACCGGACAAAATTATACACTTATAATAGACATGGTGAAGTTTTCACCTCCTAGTGTTATCTTGACCTTGGAGGTAGGCGTATTTGTGGTGCGCATGACACGCCGACTCATTTTTATGAACATGTTAAACAAATTTTATTCAAAATCCTTTTGATGGATAAGCTATGAACTGGACAAGACAAATATCCTTAAATTGACAGGGCTGACATTTAATCAACAATTATGACCTTGACCTTGGTGTTAGGTTTGTAGATTTCGCGCATGGGACATGATTATATAAAAATGAACATTTGTGCAAAGCTATTTTACATTCATTTGATGAATGGCTTTGTTATGGACGGGACATTCTCTTCAGACCTTCAACAGGGGTTATTCCTTTCAAATTCGTTATATCTATTTAACCCATAATGACATTTTTAATCCCAGAGAACAATTTCTAACCCTTGAAATACAATTTGTACGGAATGTACCTGATAATGTCAAGTTGTACACAAACCATATGTCATTAACGTCAACTGGGCATGTGCGTACTGACGGATGGAGCCCATTTCTTTAGCCCCCTTTTTTCTTCGAAAAGGCGAGGGACAATTATCCTTTTAATGCTAAATAACCCACAGAGTAGGAACACGTTTTTATCCTAGGTGCATGATTCATACAACTTCTGTTCTGAACATAAGGCATCAAACATCGAGTCTAGACGAGAGCCAATTTTGACTCTAGGGTCATTGTTAATATAACTTTTGTAGAAGACTACAAATTGATGCTACGTTCCAATATTTAAGGTCAGGGCTTTTAATCTCACCTTAAGGTGAGCTTTTAGGATTGTTGAATGTCTGACGTCTGACGTCTGTCGTCCGTCCACATTTAGTTCGTTAGCACTCGAGTGATCACATTTTTGCCTTAATCATCATCAAAGTTGGTCAGGTAGTTGCTCGGATTAGTTTGTGCATGTGTCATCTCGGATCAAGAACTGGGTCACAGGAGCTTAAAATAGAAAAGTCTTGTACTGTTTTAGTCCAAATACTCTGAAAATTGGTCAGAAATGTTGGTTTGACCATATCTAAGTCAAATTTGAATATGGGTCACCCGAGATCAAAAGCTAAGTCACACAACCCAAATATAGAAAAACATCCTTAACATTCTATAGACAACTATTTTGGTTCGAAAATCCTATAAATCGGTCAAAAGGATTGTTTTTATGATTTCTGGGTCGAGGTCGAATATAGGTCGCCTGAGGAAAAAAAGTAGGTCACACAGCCAAAATATATATATAAACCTTGTTAACACTTTTGCTCGCCCATATGGTCTCTTTCCGGTGGCGAGGGTAAACAAACGCAAACACACACACACTCTAGAGACTACTGTTTTGATCCAAATTTGTCAAAAAGGTTGTTGTTTTGGTGATTGTAGATCAAATTTGAATATGGGTCACGTAGGGTCAAAATTAGGTCGCAAAGCCCATATTTTGAAAAGCCTTTAAACACTCTAGAGGCTATTATTTTGATCCAAATATCCAAGAAATTGTTCAGAAAAGTTATTTTGATGATTTCTATGTCAAATTCGAATATGCGTTTCCTGGGGTAAAAAACTTAGTCAAAGAACCCAAATATATAACACTCCAGATGCTACTGTCAAAAAATATTTCTTCCGACTTCCTTTCGCGGCGTGCATGTCGCTCGGAAGGCATAGGTCCACCAGATGGGTGACCTAGTTAGGTGACTTAGCTGGTGTGACCTAACCAACGGCGAATGGTGTGGCCCTTCAAAGACGTTTTGCTCACGGAAGATGTGCCTTTCCTCTATATTGTCTACTGCGTTCAATATCGAAGAATTGGGTCCTAGAGAAGATCTACGATGAAAGACAGCATGAAAAGACCTCCGTTGCGGCTCTACGATCAGTGACGTTGAAGGCGAACTAAGTCTTCCGTTCCAGGCTCTACGACCACCGACGTAACAGAGGCCTATAGTCTGGGATAAATGGCAAAGCCGGCACCCAATATAAACAAAACTAAACACAAACAAATGTCAAAATATCCTGGAAATCGGTCGGGAAGGTTGTTTTGATGTTTTCTTCGTCAAATTTGAATATGGGTCGCTTAGGGTAAAACAAAATGTCACACAGCCCATATATTATAAAATGTTGTTTACACTAGAGGTTGCTGTTTTCCTCCAAATATCCTGGAAATTGGCAAGAAAGGTTGTTTTGCTGATTTCTAGGTCAAGTTTGAATATGGGTTGCCTGAGGGCAAAATCTAGGATACACAGCCCATATATTGAAAGACATCGTTAATAAACTTGATGCTTATGTTTAGGTCAAAACATTGTCGGAAAGGGTGTGTTGCTGTTTACTAGATCAAATTCAAATATGGGTTGCCTGAAGTCAAAACTTATGCACACAGCTAAAACATTGATAACACTCTAGAGGCTACTCTTTGTTAATCCT